TCTCATTTATCAAGTTGACTCATCAGAAACGCAGACTATTGCTCTGTTTGTGCAAGAGAAGGCTCAGCTCCCTCCAGTGAAGCAGAGAATTGCCTCCCATCTCCTGACCTCCCTTCCAGAAGCTTCCACAGAGTACCAGGGGAGACCTAAGTGGGTCACTGGTGTAGGGAGGTTGGGCCCAGGTATGGGGATCACTAGCACCCCCTGTGGGTGGCAGGATTTCTGAGGTGGCCTCAGACTACTCTGCTTTGTGCCACGGCTGGACGGTAGTCTCCTCTCTCAGTCCCCAGTCATGGGATCAGAACCGTATTTCCAGTTCTCCTCCAGTGCTGGGACTTTCCCGGGCTGTCTCGAGTTGCTTTCGACTGTCCCCAGCTTGTGTGTCCACGAGGGATCAGAACCGTATTTCCAGTTCTCTTCCAGTGCTAGGGCTTTCCCGGGCTGTCTCAAGTTCCTTTTGTCTGTCCCAGCTTGTGTGTCCACGAGGCAGGGCCTCGGTCAGTGTGACATGGCCCTCGACCACGATATGCTGATGCTCCCATCTCCTTGTCTCAGCCCAAGTGAGGACACAGGGATACTCAGCAAGACGTTGGGCAGGCCGTGATAATCCCAGTGTGGAGGACAGTGGTTACCTTTGGAGGCCGGGATGGGTTTGCAAGCAGGGAAGGACGTACAGGTGGCTTTCCCTGTGGTTTCTTCAGCTGGGTTATCAATAAGCAGGTATTCCTTGCATCACTCTTTTTACCTTCCCTGGGTCTGAAGTATTTCATAATAGATTTTTGGTAAAACGGTAAGGAGGCCTCCCTGACTCTCCCTTCGTGCCATGGATGAGATCCCCACGCTAGCGTGGAGAGAAGCTGCCTCCCTGTCCTGAGAGAATCTTGCTGTTTCTGTGTTGCTGCCAGTGAGCACTGTTAAATTCTCTAAGCAAGATTCCCTCCCTCTCGCCACCTTCTCCTTCTGTCCCTGTGTGTGCCTATCTGTGCCTCTCCATCTCCTTCTGGTTGGTGCGCTGAGCTCACGGTCACCCAGCCTGGACAAACCAACATGTTAGGCCCCTGCCAGCACCCGGAGAAACCCCTTGTTCCAGAGGAGAGGCTGCTGGGCTCCTGGGGCGGGACAGAGCCCGTGGGGCAGGGGCTTCCCTAGGCGGTCCTTCTGTGTGGGGTGGGACTGAGCAGCCGCTTGTCTCTGGCACCCTGTAACCTGCACTGGAAGCCACTGCCCAGGAAGAACCAGCTCTGACCTTCAGGGCCCACGAGCCGGGAGGTTCCATGAGCCTTTGGTGGATCATCACTTACTTATTCCTTGTCGACTCACTGAGGCAGGGGCCAAGATTCTGCCATTTTGCACGTGGGTAAACTGAGGCCCAGAAGAGAGAAATGATTTGCCCGAGGTTCCCCAGTTAGTAAACGGTGAGGGCACACATCGAACCAGGCAGCAAGGCTCCACGCTGGACCCCCGTGTGGCGTGAGGAGGTCTGGGCAGGCAGCTGTGTAGACTAAGATGGGAAGGGAGGCCTCGGGGGGGCTGTGCCCGCAGGCATCCATCTGCACAGTCCCTAAAGGGGAGATCAAAGTCGAGAGGCCAGGGCCCAGAGTCCGCTCAAGTCTGGCTCCCTTGGCTGCTGGAGCCCCAAGTTGCCATCGGTGCGATGTTGGGCAGACCCTCAGGGCCTTGCCTCCAGAACAGCTGTTGGTGTTCTACTGGGCTTCCTGCAGGAAGCCAGAAAATGATGGTCGCGGGTGTCCCATCGCCTCTTCTAGCTCAGTTTGCCGGGCTGGCCCAGCTGAGTCCGCAGGAGCGTCTGAGCCGGGAGACAGCCCTCCAGCAGAAGCAGGTGTCCCTGGAGGCCTGGCTGCAGCATGAGGCCCAGACGCTGCAGCAGTACCGCGTGGTAAGTGCGGTCTGCGTCCTCTGCTCCCAAGCGCGGAGGCCCACATCCCGGGCCATCCGGGGAGCCCGAGAGAGGGCTAGGGCCGGGAGGAGAGGGGACCCTGGAGAGCTGGAGGCCAGAACCTTCTTTCCTGTGGGGAGCGTGTGAGGGAGAGCGGGTTTGGGAGAGGGGAGGGCCTGTGCCCGGGGCCTGGTTCCCAGCCCTGCCTCCCGAGTGCGGGCTGTTCTGTGGGAGCCCAGAAGGGCCTGCTGTCCCCACCTGCCTTCAGGAGCTGGCCGAGAAGCACCAGAAGACCCTGCAGCTGCTGCGGAAGCAGCAGACCATCATTCTGGACGATGAGCTGATCCAGTGGAAGCGGCGGCAACAGCTGGCAGGGAACGGAGGGCCCCCCGAGGGCAGCCTGGACGTGCTGCAGTCCTGGTAATGGTGTTTGGGGGTGGCTGGGGGCAGGGGCGCTGCTTCTGGCGTCTCCTTGGGCAGCCAGCTCTCTCTGTGCTGCAGCAGGGCTTAGTTCACCGGGGCTTCTGGCTCCTGATGCCGGCTTTGGGGCCCCCGTCATGTGCCCCGTGGCCAGGAAGGGAGTTCCCGTGCTGGGGAGGGGGACAGGGCTGCGTGTGCAGAGTGAGCCTCAGGCGGAGTGGACCGGTTCCGGGGCGCTGGTCCCGCGCAGCTCTGTGTGTCTGAAAGGCGGGGGGCACTCTGCTCCGGGGCCAGGAGTGGTGGCTGAGGTGCAGAACCTTCCAGCACGAGCGAGGAGCTGGGTCTTGGGGCGTTCTCCCCAGACTGGGGCCTCTCGGCCTCGAGCCTGGGGCGTGGGGTGATACCATTGTCCTCCCGGTGGCCGGGGCTCCCGTGCAGGTGTGAGAAGTTGGCCGAGATCATCTGGCAGAACCGGCAGCAGATCCGCAGGGCTGAGCACCTCTGCCAGCAGCTGCCCATCCCCGGCCCAGTGGAGGAGATGCTGGCTGAGGTCAACGCCACCATCACAGACATCATCTCAGCCCTGGTGACCAGGTGATTGCCGCCTCCAGTACGCCCAGCCCCTGGGTGGTTGGCGTGGAGCAGGCCGGGGTGCTTTGCCCACCGGGGTTGCGGTAGGGGGGCTCTCGTTGGAGTCCTTGTCTCTTTTCCCTTGGGCCTGCATCCCTCTCTGTCCTCAGTTGCAGTGGCTGCTTGGTGTTGACCTTGCCCAGTCTCTGTTGTGGACGCTCCGTGGACTGCCCTTGTCCCCCCCCCCCCAAGCCTGGGCCAGCTGCTGAGTCCTGTCACTGCCTCCCCTCCCACCACCTCCTCTGACTCTCGGTGGCCTCCCCGGGAACAGGAGCTGTGCCGTGTGCCCTTCCTTTGCCTGCCGAGCCCCGGTAGCCTCCCCGCGTCGGTGGGCGGGCCCTGTCCCCTGAGTCAGCATCATGTGTGGTCTGGTCCCTTGTGTCCCCGCAGCACGTTCATCATTGAGAAGCAGCCCCCTCAGGTCCTAAAGACCCAGACCAAGTTTGCAGCGACGGTGCGCCTGCTGGTGGGCGGGAAGCTGAACGTGCACATGAACCCCCCCGCAGGTGAAGGCCACCATCATCAGCGAGCAGCAGGCCAAGTCGCTGCTCAAGAACGAGAACACCCGCAAGTACGTGTTTCTCTCGGCTCCCTACGTTCTGGACTGGGAGTTCCTGTCTATTCTGTAACTAAGGTGCTGGGTGATGGAGGCAGCTCAGCTTCCCTCCCTACAGCCGTGGTGCAGTGTCTCTCCGGTTCTTTCTGTCTGTCCTGGGATACACGTTGTTCTTGTTGACACGTAGTAGGTCAACATGGATTGCACTGCTGGGTTGTTCTGGTACCTGTGCTAATCCCTGGGACAGAGCTGCAATCCACACTGTACTTGGCTCTGTCTTCACCTAGCCCAGCAGAGCTGGCAGCCGTCATGAGAAGGGGAGTGTGCACCAGGGGAGACCGAAGGCACCGTGGAAGTGGGTCGCACTGGGGGCGGGGCAGAATGACAGTGTCAGGACTAGGATGAATGGGAGCAGCTAGGGAGAGCATGCTGGGGCTGGCGGGGAGACTCTCAGATAGAAAACATGGGCCTTATCCGAAAGGAGAGTGTAGGAAAGGCAAATGTGGCTGGAGAACCCAGGGTGGGATCCAGGGATCAGGGCAGGCCCACACAAAGGATGCAATGAATGAGGGAGTGAATGAGTGAAGTGGGAGACTGGGTCATGTATATTGAGAGCCTACTGTGGCATCTGGGAATAGGATGATAAAGAAGCCAGAGAGGTTCTCATGTTCTTAGAGCTTACATTTTGGCTGGGGAAGGAGAAAGTTCTGTGCTTGTGGTAATCCTGCAGTGTCAAAAAGCTGTAGATTCTAGAAAGAAAATGAAAACAGTGACATCATGGCATCCAGATAGATGTTACCTTACCATGTGAGGGGCCACAGAAGGCCTTTCTGAGGAGATGTTTGAGTTGAGACCTAAACAAGAGGGTTCGGGGCACCCAGAAGAGCGGGTGCCCAAGTCCTGAGGTAGCACCAAGTTTGCATGTTTGGCAAACAGATAAGGCGGCCTGGATTGCTTGTCCTGAGTGAGGGGAGAGGAACCCAAGAGGCCAGGAAGCTAAGGCTGGGTTTGACCCTGGGGTCCTTGTGGGCTGTGGTCATGGTTATTTTTTTTTTTCATTTTTTTAAAAATTTATTTATTTGACAGACAGAGATCACAAGTAGGCAGAGAGGCAGGCAGAGAGAGAGGGGAAGCAGGCTCCCTGCTGAGCAGAGAGCCCAATGTGGGGCCTGATCCCAGGACCCTGAGATCATGACCCAAGCCGAAGGCAGAGGCCTTAACCCACTGAGCCACCCAGACGCCCCTGGTCATGCTTATTATTTTAGTTGCACCAGAAGCTGTCAGAGCCAAAGGCCCCTGCATCAGTCTCAATGCCGACAGAGTTGTTAACCTAATGATAGAGACCCAGAGCCCACCCTTGAAGACTTTGCTTTACTCTCAGGCCTGAGACACAGAGAGAGAGAGCACGAGCAGGGAGAGGGCAGAGGGAGGACCAGAGGGGAGAGGGACAAGCAGACTCCACGCTGAGCAGGGAGCCCCTCGTAAGACTTGATCCCAGGACCCTGCAATCACAACCTGAGCCAAAACCAAGAGTTGTCCACTTACCTGACTGAGCCACCCAGGTGCCCAGAGGGGAACACTCAAAGGGGAAGGGTGAGGGGCAGCATCTCCTGGCTGGGCTTTCGGGCGTGAACACTGGGCCCAGGGCACGCACAGAGCCACCCCCCTGGCCTGGGGCCCACGTGGCCGTGGGGGTCACCTCTCCTTCGCAGCGAGTGCAGTGGCGAGATCCTGAACAACTGCTGTGTGATGGAGTATCACCAGGCCACCGGCACCCTCAGCGCGCACTTCAGGAACATGGTGAGTCCAGGGCCTGACCCCTGGCGGGGCCCGTCCACCCAGGGCCGAGTCCCCGTAACCAGCCACTTTCTCCTCGTCCCCCTCTGCCCTCCCCCGCTGCAGTCACTGAAGAGGATTAAGCGGGCTGACCGGAGGGGCGCGGAGTCTGTGACAGAGGAGAAATTCACGGTCCTGTTTGAGTCTCAGTTCAGCATTGGCGGCAATGAGCTTGTGTTCCAGGTGAAGGTGAGGCCTCGCTCTCCCATCCCCCACAGGTCACCCAGAAAGGTGGAGACTTCCCTGAGGCCACCTGATTGGTTTGGGAAAGCCAGAGAGCTCTGAATGCTCACACGGTCATGGCCCATTGGCTCATTTAGCCCAGAAGGCTCTCAGAAAATCTGTTTCACTCTGCTGGTGCGTGCTTGCTGTATTCTCATCTGGTGCCGGCCACAGAGCTTAAGCAATGGGCCAAGAAGAACTAGGTTGTGGGGTTTTTTTGTTTGTTTAGTTTTGCTTTGGTTTCATTGGGAGGTTTCGTGGGTGGGATCGAGGGTGAGGAATGAGGGCTCGATGTGGCCGTGTGCCTGCTACACTCATTCCTTTGACTCCTGTTAGACTCTGTCCCTTCCCGTGGTTGTCATCGTTCACGGCAGCCAGGACCACAATGCAACCGCCACCGTGCTGTGGGACAATGCCTTTGCTGAGCCGGTGAGTCCTCATGGGACCCTCATCTCAGCACCCCGTCCTGGAGTCTCCCTGGATCGGCCCCAAACCCCCGGGGCCCTGCTGGGTGGTCCCCTGTCAACCTTAGGGTCCCACTGGAGCTGAGGTGCGGTGGTCCCCTGTCAACCTTAGGGTCCCACTGGAGCTGAGGTGCGGTAAGGGACAGCTCACGTGAGCATGTTGCCTGTGGCATGTCCTTAGGCTCCGTCTGGGTTCCGGGTCTCAGGAGGGGGATTTCCTAGGTCTGTGGGCTTAGCTATTGGGCTCTGGTCTCTTATCTTCCTTCTGCTTATGGTTTGGGTCCCTGATCTCTATCCCAGGTTCCTGGTCTAGGTCTCTTATCACCATATGCCCACCCCTGCTGCCCTGCCTTTCCTTTTCTTTTCCTTTCTTTTCCCTTTTTTCTTTTCATTTCTTTTCTTTTTTAAGATTTTGTTTTTATTTGAGAGCACACATGTGAGAGAAAGCACAAATGGGGGGATGGGGATAAGCAGGTCCCACACTGAGCAGGGAGCCCAATGCAGGGCTCCATCCCAGGACCCTGAGATCATGACCTGAGCAGAAGGCAGAGGCTCAACTGACTGAGCCACC